GGAAGGAAGGAAGGAAGGAAGGAAACAGGACCTGATTACTTTAAAGTACATACCAGTATGAAAGAGAATATGTAATAAGTACGTTTAAAATTATTGAAGGCTTACAGTTGCAAGATAAATAAATTCTAAGCAATCTTATGTACGGCATAGTGATTATAGTTAATAATACTACTTTAAAGTTGCTAAGAGGTGCGCCCGGGTGGCTCAGTTGGTTGAGCATCCGACTTTGGCTCAGGTCATGCCTAGCTTGTGGGTTCGAGCTCAGCATTGGGTGCTTGTTGCTGCCCGTGCAGAGCCTGTTTCAGATCCTCTGTCCCCCTCTCTTGTCCCTCCCCCACTTGCACTCTCTCTCTCTCTCAAAAATAAACCAACATTAAAAAATTTTTGTAAAACAAAAAACAAAGTTGCTAAGAGAATATATCTTAAATGTTCTCACCACCAAAAAGGAACAATAGTTATTTGACCAAAGGAGGTGTTAGCTAATGTTATGGTGGTAATCTCTCTGCAATAAATATCACAAATTGACATGTTTCACCCATTAGTCTTATGCAATGTTGTATATCAGTTATATCTCAATAAAGGTGGAATAAATATTAAAGTCCTAAACTGTGAAAAGAAAGCATTGAAACTTTAAAGATAAAATGCCATTTTGAAAGCACTTTTTAAGAAAAAAAAAGGACACAGCCACTGAAAATGAAACACTACAATTGAGGTGAAAAGCAGTTTAGACACTGCTAAAGAGAGAATTCTCAAACTGAAAGCTAGATATGAGTAATCTATAACTGTAACTCTAAAGAGTAAATAAAATACAGCACAGAGACACAGAGGTTGAAAACATGATAGGTTAAAAGGCATAAAGAATAAAATGACAGTGTCTGACATATATCTAATAAGACTCAGAGGGGAAGGAGGGAGGAGAAGAGAGTGAGGAAATATGTGGAGATAACGGCTGAGAAGGTTCAGAATTGATATTTTATCAGACTGAAGAAATACGCATCCTGAGCAGAATAAAATATGTCCACACCAAAATGCATTATGCTGCAAGTGTAAAGCCTGAAAGCCAAAGGGAAAATCTTAAAAATGTTTGGAGTGAAGGCATCTTACCTGCAGAAGGCAAGACGATTTGAAGCCGACTTCTCAAGGACAGTGGAGGACAGAAGGCGGTGGAATCATGGAATCATAACAATCCTGAAGGAGCTAAGAGAAAGTAACTTAACCTCAAGTTTTACACTCAGCTAAATTACTTTTCAAGGATTCTGTTCAGAAAAGTACAAATGATACGTGAAGATGAATGAATTGTAATAAAAATGGAAAATAATATTGTTTTGTTACACTTCCAAAGAACACTCTCAAAAAAACGAAGTGCACCAACGTCAAAATTGCTGAAGTGAGACTATATTTTTGTAAAACTCTGTTCAGCTGCTGCAAAGCTACCTTCACGATAGTGAGGAGAATGCTGAGGCTGTCAGCATCTGCGTAAACTCACTCCAGATGTTTTCCTCTCGCTCGGTCCTCTTCAGACCGTCTTTGTCACCCCCTACCCAGTAACTCTGAGTAGACTTTCTTGAGCGATTTTGTTTATTTTTGTAGGGATTTCCATGTTTCAGGTGATACCGGGCTATAGATTTTGTATCAAAAAAAAAAAAAAAGGCATAACAGATTTGTGTTTTGTCTTGGTTGGCAAAAAACAACAACACATGTGTGTACGTATCACGGAGAAGCACAAGCAGCCCCCAGCACCAACTGGATCAGTTTCGGTATTGCCACGTTTGTGGTTCACTTGTTGAGAAAGTTTTTGATCTAGAGTAAGAATTGTTCTTGCAACCTAAGCGTTGCTTTATGCTACCACATTCTTCTTTTGAGGGTTCTGGCTTACAGAAAATTATTTTTTAGTTTTTAATGGGATGTTTGTTCAGTTAGAAGAGTTTGGGTTCAGAAGGTGCCTTCATCACAAATTGAATAATAGGGTTTTTGATCTTCATTTCAAGATGTGATGATTCAGATTTCAGACACTTTTTAAAATTTTTTTAACGTTTATTTTTTTGAGGGAGAGAGAGAGTGAGCAGGGGAGGGGCAGAGAGAGAGGGAGGGAGGGAGGCAGAGAATCCGAAGCAGGTTCCAGGTTCTGAGCTATCAGCACAGAGCCTGACACGGGGCTCAAACCCATGAGTCATGATATCGTGACCTGAGCCACAGTCAGATGCTTAACTGACTAAGCCACCCAGGCACCCCCAGACTTCAGACACTCTTCGTGGTAGAAGAGTGGGGTCCTCAGAGCCCCTCTTAGGCCGATCCCTCCCCGCAACAGTACCAGTGCTTGCATATTGGCCCTCCCAACCTGCACATTCTCTTTCAGTGTTGCTGGATCTTTGGAGCTTGGCACCTCCACCTCTGAATGGTACTTCCAGAACCTCCTGCCGGAGGCAGCCCCTCACCTCTGACAGGCAGCCCCCCGCCCCCCAGTTCCTGTTGCAGCATTTTGATGTCTTGCCTTCCCTGGTCCTGCTGAATTTGAACACGTGCCCTCCCAACAGAGAAATCCACCCCTTCCAAGAACAGACCCTGCCAGGCACCACTTAGCCCTCGAGGGTGGGTAGGAGCAGGTATGGGTCCCAAAGCCCAGTGGTGGAGTGCACCTGATGGGCAGGGAGGGAGCGGAGGGAGCTGAGGGGGAGAATAAACTTCAGACCGTGCCTCGTGAGGGTGGCCACACGCGGGCACTTACATACGGTGTGGCCACAGGCATACTGAGAGCCGGTGTGGGAAGCACGGAGCGGAACATTTTGAGCCACATTTAAATGACGTTTCCGATTTTGAAGTACGATCTGACTGGTTTCATGACATCTTATGATTTATTATGATATATTATAAGGATAAATGAGGCCCTAAAAATCAAGACTGAGCAGTGAGAAATCCTGTGGAGGAGAGGGAGCAAATGAAGGAGAAAAGAAGCATTGTAATCGGGATTGTTTTGAATGAAAAAGAATTTCTAGGACTGTCCCCAAACTCAAGATGGCAGATTGGAAAGGGAGTTGAAGCTGCCTCAAAATAGAGAAAGGGTAAGATTAGTTACTGGTTTATTTTTACCAACTTTAAGATATTCAGATACTTTGTGACTAAACGGCGGATTGGATCCTGGTGGGATGTGGATCCGGTGACACTGTGATCCTGAATGCTTCCATGACCTTGCTGGGGGATGCTAGACCTACCTTTTCCATCTGAATACAGTTTAAATGGGTTCACAAGAAAATTATCAAAGCCGAGAGATTATCTAGAAAATAAAGACTCGCCTTTTAAAGTTTGATGGTTGTCTCAATACACATTCTTTCTGAACCACTGGAAACATATAGGACAAAATTAGTTCAGTGATGGGGCTCCCAGTGATGGGGGCCTGGGTGGTTCGGTCGGTGAAGCGTCCAACTCTCGATTTCTGCTTGGGTCACGTTCCCACAGTCATGGGATCGAGCTCCGTGTTGGGCTGTATGTGAGACTGCTTGGGATTCTTTCTCTCTCTCACTTTCTGTCTGTCTGTCTCCCTCCCCATCCCTGCCCTGCTCGCGCAAGCACAGTCTCCCTCTCTCTCTAAAATATTAATAAATAAATAGAATTAGTTCGGTGACATACATAAACAGGAGAGAGTCAAACTTTATCCTGCAGGTGCACAGGTAAGATTTGCACAGCTTGCCTCCGGAGGCCCATCCCTTTGTATAAAAAGCACTCACCTAACTGGACTGGATGGCGTGCTCTCCAGCCCTGGTTTGCCCACCTGCAGCACGGGGCTGCTCACCCCTGCCTCACTGGGTTCGTGCGGCTCTTAGATGTGAGTGTGGATCCAAAGACCCCGTAGCACAGGATGTGCACTGAGCACATGGGCGATTTTCCCTCCCCTCCCTGGTCATGTGCATGGTAACGTCACCTGCTCTCTCCAGCACCCCTGCCGCCCTCACAAAATACCACATTTAGAGGTATCACTGAACCAGGGTCTGGAAGTGAGGATTTCCCCCTGGAGAGAAAAGCCTGTAGCTCCCACAAGTTAATATGAAAACAGCCCAAGCATATTGTCTTGCTGGGCGGATTCGGGTAAAATTAAGCATCTAAATACCCCGGATCTGTGGAATTTGTTGCTAATATTAAAGAGATTTACATTTCTGTTATATCTCTGCAGGCTTAATCTGATCACTCCAAAAGGCTCAGAATTCGTTGCTCTTTCAAGGACAACTTGATTGTTTGGGTAAAAGTTGGGCCTTTATTTATAGAAGCCTTTAGATTTTCGGTACCAACCTATTTAACTCATCCCTGGCAGTTCCTTCAGCCGCGCCTGAAAATGTGTCCGCCGAGGCTGTGAGCTCGACCCAGATTTTACTGACATGGGCTTCGGTACCAGAACAGGACCAGAACGGGCTCATCCTGGGCTACAAGGTACGCGTTCAGGTGACTGTCCTCGCGTAAGTTGTAATGGGGCTGCATGCCACTCCCCTAAACCAGGGAGCTTGTGTTTTCTTCCAGACCGACTGCACCGGCCCGTTTTGTGATATTCCTGTCTGGCGTCTTATCTAAACTTATCTAAACCCTCTGGGGATTCGGTGTGGCCATGACCTGTTACCATAGACTAAAGCAAGGCACACACAGTAGCCACCTACTTAGCCTTGAACCTCTGCTTCCAGGCTTTGTGAAATGGGAGTCGTCATCGTAGCTGCCTCTGAGGTTAGGTATGGGACGGAAGCCGGTGTTTTCTAGGGTGTGCATGTCAGGTCCCTGTCCTTAGCTATGTGCACGCATGCCTGCACACCAGTACCCCGGGAAGTCCAGGCGGTGGCATCGGGGCGAGGGGCTGACCTCCTTCCAGCCTCTCTGGGAGCCGTTGCTGGGTGTAGTCTCACACCCGTTTGTGTTCTGTTCCGTCACCTCCTCCAGGCAGCAGGATGAACTCTCCCAGACGTGGCCAGCTGCAGACTTCTGCCTGTCGCCTGCGGGTGTCCCGTGATTTCAATCCCTAGTCTCTGTCTTTCCCCACCTGTTCCCGCGTCTCCCTTCCAAGGAGCTCTGATTGCTCCCTCAGGCCCCACGGGACATGGCAGTCCCCTGGAGTGGGTCCAGTGAGCCACGCTCCACACCACATACCTGGGTCCTGGTCCTCTAGTCACTCTGCTCCCTGGGGATCCCCATCTTCTGTGGCTTTCCGGTCACTGAGGGGCCAGTTCCAGAAGGGTGAGCTCTGAGGAAGGACTTAGGAAATGGGCAGGAGCAGGCGGGGCCGTGGAGGGCAGCATCCCGGGGTGCTGAGTCTGTGTGGGGGCAGCAGTACCTAGCCCCGGGGAGCTGCGGCCTGGGGTTCAGGCAGACTGCAGCGACTCTCCTGAGGCAAGAGCCCAGTTTCCCAATAAGCTGGGACACGGAGTGGGGTGCAGGCTCCTGGAGGAAGCAGAACGTCTCTGTGTTCGTGACCGAGTCCTCGTTTCAGTGGCTGTGGCTGCTGTGGCTCCCGCCCTGTGCCCCAGATCTCACAAAGCGCGTCTCGGGCCGCTCGCCCCCATGGAACACCGCACGTGGAAACTGGGTCCACAAGCCAAAACGCGGCCGTCCTAGGGGAGGCAACGGTCGCCTGGTCCTTGCCTTGGGGTTGGGAGCCCCGGTGCCCCTGAGACCCCTTCCTGGCACCGCGCGCCCTCATGACCGTGCACTTGTGTGCTGATGCTCCAGATCCTGTTCCGGGCCAAAGAGCTGGATCCCGAGCCCCGCAGCCACGTCGTGCGCGGGAACCACACGCAGTCGGCGCTGCTGACGGGTCTCCGGAAGTTTGTGCTATACGAGCTCCAGGTGCTGGCGTTCACCCGCATCGGGAACGGAGTCCCCAGCTCTCCCCTCCTCCTGGAGCGGACCAAGGATGACGGTACGGTCGCCGGGTGCTCCCACGGCCCGAACAGTTTGGATGCTTGTCATTTGTACTTAATTTTCAGATCCCCCCTTTTTTTTTCTCCTTGCCTTTTTTTCAGTTGAGAAAAACAAAACAGAATTGGTTTTCAGTCACTGTTTATATGGCCAATTTCAGCCCGGAGTGAATTTTTACAGCCTAATTATGAAGCTGTGCGAATTTCAGCCGTAACTTGGCAGCAGGCAGTGCAGTAAAGGCCGGGTGGGCTGGGGCCGTAAAACCCGCGGCCGCTTCTCCCGGGGCTGTGTGCACAAATCTGGTGAAGGACTCCGAGCCCAACCTGGGCGCCCCCGCCCTCGCGGCGCCCCCAGCTCCAGGAGACCCTGCGTGGCGTGCCAAGAGGCTGTCAGAAGTTTCTGGGTAGAGCTCTTCCCAGGCTCCGGGGGGGGGGGGGGGGGGGG